GGTACACCAAGGCAGGCAATATCAAAGCATGTCTCTAACTTAGGTCAACATCCTAGAAGAACAGTCATGTAAATTACTACCAACTAGAACCAAGGAACAGAAGAGTTTTGATAGAACGGTTAATTAATGACACAGCAAGACCAAACCCATTGGCCTAGCATATATAAGATTACCTGCTGGTATTGCAGGTCTTTCCAGCATGCTGTCTTCAGCAAAATTAAATCTTCAGAAATCCAGAAAGTATGATGATATCCTCCACAAACAGCCCCACCTTTAACACTACTCTCCCAAAGCACTATCTTTATTATGCCCTTAACATTCTTTCCTTGTGCCTTTGAGAAGTGAATTAAACTTGTCTCCCTTGTATACTGAACATCTGTCAGTCCGACTTCCACACATATGCCCTAGTTGGAGGGGTAAGCACTTCTTCCCAAAAGCCAAGCAGGTTTTTCACACACTTCTGCAAGTCTGCACATTATGCATTAATAATGCATAAAAATATCACGTGGCCATATGATTATTTCACTTTATTGTGAAATAAAGTCACAAGATGTAGACTTCCCCATCCGGAGACTGGGACCACCTACCAGACAGACCATTTTTGCAACCAGATGTACTGCACATATTATTTTAACTTATTTCAAAGGTTTAGATTTTTGGATTACCCTAAGGGCCTCTCCAGATACTGATTAATCAGAGAGAAACAGAGAAGAATAAGAAGGGAACACTGGGTTTGGATCACTCTGGGAGCACAGATCTCCTACAAAATCTATCAAGAACGGTAAGTCTTCTCCCCTTTGACTCCACACTAAGAACCATGAGGTGGTTCTGCACAGAAAAAAAACTGCATGAAAAGGGACTCAGGCTCAGGATGTCCATGCCAAGTACTAGGCCAGTACTTACATACAACACTGCCTGTTACAGGTTCTTCCTCAGTAAAAACCAAGTACAGAGGCATTTAGATACACTTAGTTTGTAAGAAAATTGGTATATCTGAAATAATTCTCCTATAAACTAGAGGGGTAATGTTGTGTAGGAACACTGGGTTTGCATTTTTGTAAACAACAGAAAATTACTTTCTTAGGAACAGTTTTAATTAAATCTACTACCACCACCACAAAGTGCCTTACAGTCAGCATTACAAAAGTTCAACATTCAGCAGCTTAAATCATGCTGGGAAAAATAAAAACCACATTTCATTCACAGCATATGCAGAGAAGTTGGTAGCATTTGTCAAGTTTTAAAAAGAACTGCTATTTGTTTGCCAATTTATTTAGTTCTTTATCATAATGCTGTATGCTACAAACCCCTAGCTCAGGTCTGAAGTTCTAGACTTACTCTACCTCCCAACAAGACTTTTTTGATACCTCTGATGGAGATCAGGTAGGCAGTACTTAATCTTGCCATGGCTCCGTATTTTAAGTTGCTTTGTAAAAAGTCCTTGAGAAGAAGGTATCTGTCAATAAACAACTGCAAACATGGAACCTGCTATGGCACCTTTCACTGAAGCCACAGTACAAAACTAAAGCCAATACTCAGTGATGAAAGTGGAATACGCAGCAACACACAAAACTGGAAACATTCCTAGTGAGGGGGGAAAAAAACCCTCATAAGCATTAAGCCTAGCAAGTCAAAAAGTATGTATACCAGGCAGAAAATACTGATACAATGAAGAGCAAAATGAAGTTCTGTAACAAACACATAAATGAATTAATAACCACGGTAAGACACACAGAAAGAAACATAAGCAATTTATGGTTCCTACCAAGGATTCCATTTCTAACATCACTTTTCCACATAAGCTGCACAGCACTAATGGCAACTACAATGATCACAAATGCAAAGAGACTATTAGACATGTAGTGCATACCATGGAAACTTTTAAAATCTCACAAGCTAGAAATTAAGAATCTATATGAAACCAGGTGTTGCTTCTGGAGTCATTAGCTCCGTTTCCATTTAAAAAGGAAACAAACTGACAAACCAAACCCTGCAAAAGCTGCTCTTCAGAACAGAAATCTACAAAGATTTGGAAAAGAAGCTTAAATTGTCACTCTACATTAAGCAGCCATGCTAATAAAGCAGGCATAGCCCTTCTCCCACACACCTTTCTAGTCCACTTGCTTCCACCACAGCGATGCCCATATACTTGCCCATTGCATCAGACAGCGACCAAGCTCAAGAACCAAGCAGTTGTGAAACAAGGTGGTTAAAAGCTGGGGGAGGAGGGGCTGTATTTTTCTGGAAGATCATTTCCCTGATCCACTTCACTGTGCAGCTGCACAAACAACTAACTGGACTAGCAAAACAAACAGGATAACATAAAGATACAAATAACCAATGTCAACTCAAGATACCACTGCTGCTGAAGAAATGTACTTGGACTTGCAACCTAAGTGAAAATCATTCACTTAAAATGTAACCTACAGATTTTGTTCAGTTCAATAAAAAAAATCCTAGCTAACTGGTTGAGCAAACACAGGACAGAATGTAGCTGAAGCTACTGCCCCCTAAAATGAAACAAAAGTCAACATTAGAACCAAAACCAACACATGTTTGGGGGAGGAGTGGGGCATGTGGCCAGATCTTATTCCATTCATTTTCTGTGCTAAACTGAAAAACCACTAAGGTTTTTTGTCTGGGTTTTTTTTTTTGTTTGCTTTTAAACTTGGTACCTTTTCCCTCTGCCCAGTATTCACTATTACAACACTAAAACTTTCTGTGCAATTCCAGGCAAAGGTTAAACGACAGCAGCTTAAACAGGTTCATTTATTCAGCTCAGAAAGACAAGGATTTCTATTCCCTCTACGTGAACAGTCAGTGAATCAATGCCTCGAGTTGTGTCACAGAAGCCTTGCTTTCCTTGCATACTAGGCCAATACAGAAGGCCATTAATTACTGTTCTCATAACTAGTCAAAATTTTGCTTCTTTTTTTAATGCTGAAAAAAATCACTTCACTAAACATGCATCACATCCTTCTTATGTTTTAGAAAGGTAATTGATAAAACCCTGTCTGTTTCATCTGTTTTCAAACCACCTCTGGGTGGTTTGTTGATTGTCCAGGAACAATCAGTTCTCTAGAATTCACTCATTTTTACACTCAGATGACAGTACAGTACAACTTCTGTATGTTAGCTATCCCAAGACAACTATATTTTCAGCATTTATTTTACTGTAAACATTATAAACATGTATGTGTACGAGTAGACACAGATACAGTTGAACAGCTGGCTCCATGTAACTCTGTACTGTAACTACACTCAGACAGGATATTCCTAACACCTGCTAAGTATAAGCTGACAGTCACAAAAAGCAAACAACTTTCATTCTTTTTCCCCATCTCACAATGCTTCCTTCCCTCATGCTGATAAGAATTAGGTGAACTGGAAATTCAGCTGGGGAATTCCATTTAAAAAAGTCCAGTCCCAAAATGTTACTCTTAACCTCAGTGAATTCCCTATTTGATTCATCACACAAGAGCTTGTTTCAGATAAAGGAGAAGAAGCACAAGAAATAAGCCACCCTGCATAAAAGCAGCAGCTGTTTCTTTCAGCAGTAGTACTACCTCATGCCAGCTCAACATGTTCCTCACACGACTGCCAAAGCTGCATTACCTGCCACTGCTAAAGTAGAATAAAAACTTGGACCTCAATCATTTACGAAATCTATCATCACAGTCAAGATGCAATCAAAGATACCTCAACACTGTACACAGCATTTTGTTTAGTCACTGAAAACCTGTTTTGTGCCTTTTTTTTTAATTTTCCTAGTTAGTATTTTTAGGGTCCTGTCTGATTGTCTCCCCCACTTAGAACAAGAGAGAAAGCCACAACATTCACTTCTGTTACATTTAACTAATTTCAAAATGCTTATGTGTAATATGAACAGCACCTGTTTTAAAGTTTTGATGAAGATTTTTTAGTTTCATTGATACAGTTAACTAAACACTCAAGTGTGCTCAGTTACGCTGTCAAAACTCTGCAGATAATCAATATATGTACACACATGTTTAAAGACTCCCCACTACAGAAACATCTGTTTGTAAGTTAATGCCTCCCTCACACAATTCAGTGACTGTACAGTGACTGCATGTACCATTAAAAATGCTTCCACTTTGTTATAGAGCACAGTATTTCAATTTTGCAGAAGAGTAATTAATCTTGAATAAAGATTTACATTCTTAAGCAATGGACAGTTCTAAGGGAAAGGTCCTCCACTACCAAGATAGTCTGTTACCATTCTCCCTTCCCCACTGCCAAAGCACCACTTTCAAAGCCTGACTCAAAATTTCTATTAAGCATTCTAGTAAGGAGTTTAGGCATCATCTGCTAGGGAGCCATACTGACAAAGAAACATAGATCAAGGTCTTAAAGAGAAGCAGATGTAAGAATTAATCTATTTCTAATCCTATAAGTGAAAACATATTCACTTTTTAAAATAACTTCAAATAAATCAAATAATTAATGTGTGGCAACTTAGATGTGGCCTCACCCCTCCTCTTTTTTTCAAGGGTCTGTTTTGAATAATTTTGGAGATCTATACTGTTCAGCCTGGTGTAGCAACCAAAATGAGTCCGGGACACTGGTCAGGCTATCTCCAGCTTACTTTTTGTTCTTTCCATGTACATCACACTTACTCTGGCTTACACTCTTCATATAGTCCTGTTCACAACGTCACTGTGCCCACGCATCTGTTCTCAAATCAGCTTAATTTAAGTCTGCATGACACCACCACATCACACCTTCCCTTTACTCCAGCGGACTTAAAGTGTAAAGTGTACTCATTCCTCTAGTTTTGATTACCAGTTCGATCTCTGTTATAAAACTTGTGTTACAGAACTCTAACAGCAAGAAGCAATACATCATGGAAATGTTATTCCACTTAATCTTAGGAGGGAGCTTTTACTGTTGTTGTAATTTTTTTAAATTTTTTTAATCTGGTAAGAGAGAACAAACACCGTAAACATTCGAAAAATAGCAATAGAAGAAGCTTTACTTACCTTGAAAATTCCAACCCAGTCTTTCTGATGAGGATGGATAAACTGGGTCAGAGTGTAGTGACATTCAAGGTGTGTATTCGGAAGGTAACTTTTTGCCACATTTTGAAAAATCACATGTGCAAAATTGGAAGTCTGCAAAGTGTTAGCTGAAGATGGAACTTCTTGAAAGGATGACATGACTGACCTGTAACAAAATGGTAGAAGGTGTACTTTAAAACAGTGGAAAAATTAGTAAAGTTCAAAAAAATCAAGCTTTTTGAAACATAGAAGACAGAGAAACCTAACAATTAGTTTCTCTGCTCCGAGAACAGATAGCTACAGACCAAGCCCACCAAAGCGCACTGCCTCAGCATCACTCCAAAACAATCACCTCCCAGAATAAAAGGGCAGTCATTTCAGTGATGACATCACGATGGACAGAAAGCATAGCTTAGCCGAATGCCCACAGTATCAGACCTCAGATACATTGTCAGAAAGTGGGAAATAGCAGCAGGGTTCTAACTTAATGAAATATTCTTAATGGTTCTAGATGTGGCAGGGAAGAAGAAATAAAGCTCCATAGTTTCCCTACTTCAAACTTTCCTCAAATTCTGCACTGCTCAATGCTTTTCACAGCATTTTTATATGCGAAGTTTTTCTTCCTCCCCTCAGTAAAAGTAACAAAAGTTCCATTTGAAGACATTTTTAGAAAACATTTGATCTAAACAGGAGGGTTTTGTTAGTTGTTTTTTTTTTTTCTTCCCTTCTTCAAAAGAGTTCTCTTGCTTCTGTTTAGTAGTCTGTGTGCATCTATGACTGTCTGCATTGTAACACATGTGCTCCAGCCCTGACTGTTTAGCTTCATTATCATAAACAATGGACTTCATTGACAGCGGGAACGTTTAGGTATGCATGCAGTTTGACAGATTAACACTAATCAGATGGACTGCAAAAGCTTTTAATCGTGTTTTCCATTCACCACCTCATTCAGGATATGTAGTGCTAAAAATTACAGCAGTGCAAGATGCTTCACAAGCAGAACAAGAATGTCCCTTCCTCAGATTCAGCAGTATCTGTCAAAAATGTAAGATGGGCAACTGAGAAGTTTCAAGTGTTTGATTACAGTATACAATCACAAGTTTGTCAAAACACCTCATATTAGGATTGGGGCCTTATCTGTCTAACACATTTACAGAACAATGAGCCATCCTATTCTTGCAATTGCTATTGAAAGTAATTTTATACTGACCAAGCATATTCACACCCTGAATGAGGCAACTGCCAAGCGTGTAACATAATACACTACTTTCATTGAAGATACATGTGGAAACCAATCCCAAAAAGGGATGGGCCACTGCAAGTCTCAAGAGCTTCAAAGACTAAATGCGGTCTGTGTATCTCCTATAGCCTTATAAAATTTCTTTTGCCTGTTGAAAAATAAGTAGCAAAGAGCTTATGCTTTCTGAAAAAAAAAATGCACTCAAGTAAACAGATATTCATCATTCCAAACAAGGAAAAGGTAAAAATTCTTTAGATTTAAGCCCTCCACATTTTAAGTTTATTACCAATCAATTTAGTAACATATGAAGTACATAGGGACAGCCATGACATTATTTTACTGTATCAGATGTTAAGTAAACAGCAGTTTTGTACCCTGAACACCACAACTAAGAAGATAAAATTACAAGCTTGTGAAGATTAACAGATATAAAGGACAAAACCAAGAACATACACAAGCAAGAGAATGAGTAAAGATTAGAAGACAGCTTTTGAAAAACAGTAAGGTATGTATAAATCCTATCTGTTATCTTGCTTCAGAGTCCAGAAGAGCATAGGAAATTTTATGGCATAATAAAACCCAGAAAACTACCACACCTCCTAAAGCAAAAGATTACATTTAAGACATCTCTCAGATCCACTCTGAACTATAAACGGTATGAAGTAGCAGTTTCTACAATTCTAAAAGAAACAGAACAGCCTTATTTTTTCTCAAGCACAATAAATAAATTAATTTTTGGTAGTTCAGTGATACCTGAAGCCAAGTACTACTGACATGAAACAGACTGCTTTGTTTACTCTTTTTGTACTTACCGTGTGTTATGAAAACTGGAATATTAATAACAAAAACAACTGCATTTAACTTTTTTTTAATAGGTCTATTTTAAACATTGGACAGTTTATTCTAAGCGCACAATGCAGGAAAGAAGAACACAAACACCCCCCAAAAAAAACCCAATCTTTTCTGCACACCAGCCGCCAACGACCACAGCCGAGTACTAGCCCCAGTGAAACCAGTGGGGCAGGGCTGGTTTCCAAGCCCCAAGCAGACCTGTTCACAAACCCGAATTTGCGCAGACCCGCAGAATCATCTGGGATTACTGTTCCCAACAGGAAAATCCCCGGAGCTTACGTGAAGCCGAGATCTACTTACAGCTCAAGGAGAGTTCAGGGGGTGCTGCGTGCTTGCTTACCTAGCGTTGGAGCTACCGGCTGGGAAAGGGGGAGGAGAAGGAGGAGGAGGAAGAGCTTAGGCTTCATTACTGACATGACAAGCGATTCCCTGGGGGGAGCCTGAGCGCCGCGTTTGGTTTTACGCACCGACAAGGACGAAGGAGGAAAAGCTCGTCAGGCAGGAAAAACAACAGCAGGACGAACC